TTCGAGTATTTTTTTAAATATAAATGCGTAATTTTTTCTGTATAAAACATGACTACGTTTTGTTATATATGTATACATATGTTATATTACACATTTATATTGGAAAATTTTATGTTGCAAATAAAATTCTAATGTTATGTCATTTTTAACTAGTGTTTAGATGTTTACTATAGGTTATTTATCATTATTATAACACAAAAGTGTGATGCATCGATAAAGTCATAGAGTAAAGAGATCGGAAGGGTTAAAAGCGGAATTAACACGCGACAGCCGCCTTTTAGCATCCCACGATGTTAGAGAGAAAAGCTGCGTTGCGCCTAACAAAAAAGCCATGACGTTTCCCACGTGATTCGCCGAAGCGAGGGAGGCCGAGTCCACCCTTTTGCAGATTACGAGTGTTCATTGTTTCACGGAACAATAATGACCCGCCGTTCGCAATAACAATCTGCGCGACAAGTGTGCGAAAACTCAGCGGGCAAAAATTGCAAGGAGTCAGAAAGAAGAGAAGTAGAGAGAGAGGAGAGAGAGAGAGGAGGAGGAGAAGGAGTTGAAAAAGGAAGATAGCGAGACATTTTTAGAAAAAAATAGTATGAACTTACTGCAAAAGCATTAACTTCTACTTTGTAGTCTGAATAATGCTTCTACTAAAAAATTAATGTTAGGAAATACGTTTAAGATGTGAAACATTGTATTTTTGTTCCATATCTACAAACTGCTGTGTGAAAATAGGAAAAACGGAAAAAAGCGAGGAAAGAAGATCGAAAGAAAAGAGAAGAAACGGAGAACGAGAGACAAGAGAAAAGCTGTAAGGGTGATAAGAGAGAAGGAGGAGGAGAAAGAGGAGAGACGGACGGATCATGTAAGGGGTGGCGCACAAAGCTGCGCAAAACACACAAACAGGCGTATTACAATAATGGCCGTGCGTGTTGTACAAATACGATATCGGCTTGAGGGGTCCGCTACACGGGCACGTGACCCTCTCAAAGGGCTCGCATAACGAACACCCCCGACGGCGAGGCCCCCCCGTCAGGGACGCTCGTGTTCCGCGACCAGTTAGCGGGGTTAACTTACAACCCCGCGGCTAACACGCTTGTCTCGACCCCTGAGAGTTAGCTTTTTTCTTCCGTTTTATTATGCTTTTTTTCCTTTTTTTTTTTCCCCCGTCGCGTTATTGCGACGATTACTCGGTAATTTTGCCCGTTTTCCGCCTTTTTGGGGGACAAAAATTTACGGCGCGCATTGCGCCATTGTAATTTGGACCTTCATTAGAAGCACAAGTTGGCAGATTTAAGTTGATAATGACGTTGTAACGTGATAATGAATTCGCTGAGCAAAATCTCAAATAATTGACCCTAGGAGAATACTTTTTTACTATTATCTTTCTGTTTAGAATTATGACAAAAAATTGGAAACGAGACGAAGCGCGATAGTTCGATCCTTTGTAAGAATTTTAAAGAAAAAATTTAGTAGCGATAATATTTAATTGCAATTAAGCTATTTATACCGATACAAATTAAGCTATTACAAATTAAACTATTACCGATATTTAAATAAATTACTTTTGTATTCTTACAATTAATTATTATGAATATAATTAATAAATAAATAAAATTTCTTTTCTAAGAGATTAAATTATTTATGTTACCGATAGACGTACATGAACGTTCCATAAATTTTCGCATTTTAATTATTTATGTTACGTAATTGATCGTCTTCAATTTTCTGTTATATTAAATAAATTCAGAAGGTTAATTATATTTTCGATTGTCATCTTTATAATACTTAATTATATATCATCTTTATAGTACTTAATTATAGGTACAGTCAACTTTGGCGATTCCTTTGCAAGCGTAGAATAATTAATTTCGCGATTCGATGGGAAAATTTCATGCGTCGATCGTAGGCGAGTATTCATTCTCATTAATAACTATCCGCATCCTCAGCTTTTATCGTTCGTGTTTTATCGTACCGAGGACTTTTTTCACACTAGATTTCCATAATAACAAAGAGAAACGCGCCACGATATCGATGACGGATGTCGTCAATACGTTTCACATAGTTGACAATTCGTACGTAAGGGAGGAACGACGATTCGAATAAACCAGTAAGGGCGTATAAGAGAGGGTGTATATTCGAAAACTATTATGAACACGTCTCATATACTTCGCCACGTGCTGTTGCAAGTTGTAAATCACTTATGTGTGTGTGCGTGTTGTGTGTTTTCAGTAAATTTGGCCGCAGACAAGAGACCCTTTTGTCAAAGAAACAAAAATGGATAAAGAAACTATTTTGTAAAACTTTCATACACACACACACACACACACACACACACACATTTCAATTAATTTTATTTTTATAGATTAATTATTTCCTAAACTAAATTGTGTACAAAAATAAAAAGCCCTATAAAGCCTTAAATTTGACAAGATTCATAAACAGGAAATATTGTATTGTACTCCGTCCATCCATGAAAATTGGCAATTATGTAATAATTAACTTTTTCGTAAGATGAATAAAAATGAGCACCTAACAAAATGGACCGTAAAACTGACGCAGTAAATGGTAATGCTACATTTCTATTCTTTTTTCTTTACAGAAACCATTTGTACAAAATGCTTACAAGTGAGAATGTGTGTATATATGATCTAAAATTTTTTTCATTTCAATATAAAACATTTTTTTATTCATATGCATACTTTGTATTGTTCTGCAAGACGGAAACATGTAACGATTACTTTTTTTATCAAAATTTTTTGATAAATAAATGATTGCTTTTAGTTTTGATAGGACTATTTGACATTATAATGCAACAATATAAAAATAAAGTTAGCTTACGGTTTGTCTTATACAGATATCATATAGATGTGCCGATTTACGATGCACCCTAGTTTTATATTCAAAATCGTGTTATGAAAAACTAAAAATATAATATATAAATAAAAATGATTTAGGAAACTATAAACATGAATATAAAACAATGTAATATTTTTTGTCAATAATATAATTATTTATTATTTAAACTATGCAATTTGTAAAAGAAAATCGTACAAATTTTATTTTTGTGTATGTAGAATTTGTTTATAACTGATTTTGTACAGAAACAAGCCACAAATATATCATATGTGAATTATAAGTTTTTACTTATTTTATCATCTAAATAGAGATTATGTTTTTATCAGTATTAATAAAGTATGATATAGTTAATTTCAAAGAAATAAAAGTGTCTCTTTAGGAAATCTATGTCAGTATCGACGAATTTTCTTTATTTAATAATGTAAAAAAATTTATTTATTATGTTAAACTGAAAAAAAATAGTCTTAAAAGGTTAATGAATAGAATTCTTTGAAAAGAATTATTAAAATATATTATAGTTTTATAAAGATAGTTCTTTAATAAAGCGCTTAGTCCTTTTTATGAAAAAAATGCTTGTGTGTAGATATTAGATACATATTTAAGGTTACGGTATGTCTAGTTTAATTACGCATCAATATTTTAGATTACGACTGCATTTCAATTGCTGTCAGGACGATGGATAAGTACTTTGTCAGGTGAAGCCTGTATTTACACGACTGACACAAAATTGACGTGTGAAGTACGCACTTGTATCTGACAGGGTGGCCTTCGACAGAAACGACATGAAGTCGGGGTGAAATCTATTATCAGAATAGGCGCAGTTTCTGTTTATAGAAAAATCATTATGAAATAAATTACAATTTAATCTTAATTCGTAGAAGTTCATTACTTTAATAAACACATTTATTACCAGGAATTTATGTTTTATAAAAATAGCTGAGGTTTCATTAATTTTTTAAAGTGCAAACAGCTAAAATATAATAAAATTTGTATATGTATACATATTTTAATTATTTATTGACGGAGATTGAAAATAAGAGTAAAACAAATTTTATCGTAAAAAATATTATAAAAAATAAAAATAAGTTAATCAGCGACTTTTCCAAAATCTAAGAACAGCAATCTGATTACACCTGGCGCTGTAGGAATATCTACTCCACGGCGTAATTTTGGAACGGAAGTTTAAAAGTGGAATTATGATATGATATACGTATAGATATTGCAGCAGAATTATTATATTACATTTATATTTTATTATCCAAATTTTAAATTTAAACATTTAATAATAATATATATTCTTAAAAAACATTAATTTTTGTAAAATAAATGTTTATAATATCTAAATTTTATATTTAGATATTTATAATATTTTTATATTATTAACTTAGATATATACATATTTCTTATATATGTATATGTATGTATATAATAATTATAAATGTCGGTACTTTTCCATATTGTCTGTTTTTGAGAGAAGCGACAGACGATGAAACTTTTAATCGAGTTGAAAGAATCAACAGTAGGTAAAGACGAAAGTCAGACTATTGTATCGTTTATAGTCGAGAGTGTACCTTCTGCAGTTAACGCTGGCACAAATTATATCATTTGATGATATGTAAACAAAAGTGTAAATCTGCTGATGAATTCTTTTGTTTATAAATATATGTATAAAAAAATAATTAATATAAAAAAATAATCTGTGTAATTAATTTTAAAAAATGTAATTATGAATCATACAACAGAAAAAATCAAAAGCTGTTTTAATAACAGGAAATAATTATTTTTTAATAGATATATGTAATATACAATGGTTTCTTGTAAAAATATATACTTTACATTAAATAAAAAAAAAAGTATTAAATATGAAGCTTTATGCAATATTTAAAAAAGTGTACTATTTGCTTCACAAAATGCTAAAGTCTTATTGTAAATTATAAAAAGGAATAAAGTTGTATTGATAAGAGAATTTTATTGATATGTAAATATTGCAAATATTGTATTTTGTTTGTCGCCTTGTATAGTGCTGTGCATAAATTCAAGCTGTCGCACTTGAAGTGTATGTCCAAAAACAAACAAGCAGTAAGTTAAACAAATGTAAATCGCACCTGGCGTGTGGCCAATATAAGCAATCGATTTTGTGGCCTGCGATGCCTTTCAAGAAATTCAGGCCGAAGTTCTCTATTTATCAAGTTTGCATCACTATACTCGAGGCAAGGCATTTGCCGCAAAATGCGAATCCGCTGGTCGTCGTCAAAGTTGGAAATCGTAAGAGAAGGACAGTGGTACGTGAGAGGACTGATAATCCTATATATAACGAGGTGAAGTTATCCACAATCTGTCGAAACTATTTATATATGAAACGTTAGACTTAAAATTATATTATAAGTTAGAATGGACCGACTGGACGGACATCTGCACAATCTTTGAGTACTAAAATATTTAAATCTTTGTCAACCTAGTTCTTAAAATTTAAAATTTAAAACCGAAAGTTTAAAGACTTTAGATTTGTTTCCGGAATTCTTGTGTTCTCTGAATCTTGTATGTATACGACATGTCTATATAGGAACATTACATGTTTTTAAACTTAAAATAGTTTCAAAGTTTTGTAAACACTATAAAATTTTATAGATTAAAAATTGAATTTGTTTATTTTAAAACTTATTTTCAATTTATTTCCACTTATGGTTAAAATAAAGTTAAAATAAAATAAAGTTAAAATAGATTATTAAAATTTTAAAAGTTTATTAAATTATACAGTATTCTTGTAGATGTGAACTTTTAAATTTGAGAACTTTAGAGTCTATCAAGATTGAAGATTTTGTATTTCAAGCTTTCTTAAAAATTTTCTGACATTTAACTTTAAGGAATATTATGTGCGTGAACAAAAATATTTTATTCATGTGGAATTGCATATTTACCTTTTGCACCTTTTAAATATACAGTACTTCGTATTCGACTTCACGTGCAGTTTGGACAATCTGCTGAACACGAGAATCACGATAGCGGTCTATCTGCGCAACTTTGTTCGGCGACTAAAGTTTCACGGAAACACTACCTTCGAAGTTGCCACAGTATGGGAACAACCAGGTTACTAAAAATACAAATAAAAAGGGAGATAAAGAAAATGCGGATGTACTTTATAGCTCTCTTTGTTACTGATACAGTGAATTAAAAGGAAGAGATAAATTCTATTTAAGTGGCAAACAACTTAAAAGGATTGGAGGATTATATTGTTCGAAAATCGTACTTGGTTTTTACATTTTTTTTATGAATAAATGTATAACAGTACATTTTTTAGCTATATTTATATAACAAATAAAAAGTAGAAGAATGCATTTTCATTATATTAACAAATATTTATATAAATATACGGTACATGTATATATATAATATACATATCTAGATTGTTGAAAATATCACGAAATTTAATATACCTTTAAGTTACACAAGTTGAATTTAATTTTATAACACATTACATTAAATTTATTGTATTTAAAATCGAAAAATATATTTGTGTATACAGTATATTTATATTTATTAATAAAAAATATTTCAAACATTTATCTAAAAATACAAATATTTTAGACATCGAAAAACGATTCAGAAATTAAAGAGAAATACGTTTGCTTTATCAAGAAGCACTTTCAAGTTGTATGTTGTTACTTCTGTGTGTAGATCGTCAATACTATCACAAATGGGCCGTGTTGACAGATCCAAAAGATCTGATGGCGGGTCCGAAGGGTTACGTAAAGTGTAATATCACGGTGAACGTCAAGGATGAGAAAGTCAAGGTGCATCCAGAAATATTAGATGAAGATGATATCGAAGGGTAATCCCTCCTAAAAGATAAATTCTCGTTATTGACGTACTAGTAATTTACACCAAGTGGCTTATCAGAATTTCCATTGTTTGCTTGAATTCCGTGCTTGAACGTAGGAACCTACTGCTTCCTATCGGTGGTGAGAGACTACCCTTCAGGCAACGTGCTCGATATGTTTTCATCGTCTATCGCGCCGACGGTTTACCCGACATGAGCAGCTTGTGCAGGAAAACTGATTTCGAGAACATTAATCCCTACGTGCAAATATCATTTGCTGGAATGAAGGTACAAAAGAGTTTACTTTCAGGTCTCTTATTTTCACGTGGAGAGCAAATTTCAAAACGTTTTTAGTTTCTACGAGAATAAATAATATAATATTAGATGTTGAAGACATTACACTTTGCTACTACCGACGAGAAATGTTTAGTTAGAGTAGACACGGTCTTACACGGCTATACAAAACGATTACAGGTTGTAGTGTTTTCAGGGAACGACGAGTGAAGCATGGCAAACCTATTGCCCGAAATTCTACGAGGCCATAATTTTTAAGGAAATGTTCCCCATTCTCTGCCATCGCGTGAGAATCACTATAAAACATCGTATCGACAGTTACCGGACTTGCACCGTAGCAGTTCATGTCCTGGATACAACAAAGATCTCGAATTCCGGAGAGTATGGTAAGATTATCAAATGATTCTCTCTTGTTGGAAAAAAAAACAATCTACAGAGGATGTAATTTGTTTTCTAATAAAATTAATTTCGAAGAAATAAATAAATATATTTACACGTACACACTGAGAGAACAATTTTTTGGTATCTGTGACTAATAATTATGTACGTACATGTTACCATAACTATGATTATAATTTCTTTAATGTTTTATCTTTACTCCAAATACGATAAATTGTTTAGCATAAAGACCCATATTTTTTAAATATTTTTATATTACGATAAAGTTTGATATACATATATGTACATAAAAAAGTAAATGTTTATATAAATAAATTTCCAAGTAAGTTTGATATGAATCCTTTTTATTCTCATTTAAACGCACGTTCACAAATGTGTACAAAGTTCAAGTAAATGTTAGATAGTAATAAAGAAAGAGCGTGACGTGAAAAATTGCGAAAGGTAGCATTTGTCCTGCCAACAGGATTCCTGCCGACTTACGGGCCGTCTTTCATCCACTTTTACGGATCCGGCTCTCTGGAAAAGAACGGTTGCTCGGGCAAATGCTTGACGGCAATGCCTTTGTATCGCGGAAGGGTGCTTCTGTCGCTGAAAACTGAAATGGATGACCCAGATGCATCCCCCGGAATCGGAGTTGAGACCGTTCCAACATTTCCTATTATTGAAGTGATTAGATTTGTTGTTATGCTTTACTTTTGCGACTATTTATTTTATTTATAGTTAGAATTTAATATATTTTCTTTGTGTAGAAAATCAATTTTCCGTAGCAATAACTTTTATAATTCTACCAAAATTTCTAACATAAATTTAATTTAGTTTGGCATATTCTTAACAAATATAGCAAGAAAATACCTAAAATTTTTGAAATTTAATTTATTCTTTAATTAAATAAAATGTAAAGATTTAGGATGGAATTTCAAAAATTACAAATAATAAAATAAAATAATTTTTCGTAGAATGATTCGTAATATTATAGAAACTTGTATTTAAAAAATATAGAAAAACTTATGGTCGACTGAGGAATACCTTTTGGTTGGAGTATTGTACGATGTGTGTTTGATCGACCGTTCTAGATTCGGATCGAAATTAATCAGCTTTGAACTGAGTTTGGGTAATGCGGGAAATCACCAATTTCCACACAGTCAATGCATTGAAAATAATGACAACCAATCAGGTTTTATTCTCGCCCATCACATTATCGTGTTTGTCCGAAAGACATTTCAACGCTAAATGTGACTGTAAAATAAAAACGGAAATGAGAGTTTAGGAGACACTTTGTTTCAAATATAAAGTATTTTTCTTTCACCTACCGCAACTTCGATAATGCAGTTGCCATCGATTGCGATTTCTACAGGGTGATTTCCGATAAGAGAGACAAATTTTTAGGTTTAGTGAAGGAGACGACTGTTTTAAGGTACAAAATTTATGTTGCGCAACTTACTACTTTTCTCTCGACTTTTCCTCAACTTGCAACGGCATCTCTACGGATTTGTCGCTGTTGGTTACAGTCATTCTGTATTTGTCTCACGTGAATTATGTTTTTAACGTCAACGCGAGATGGGAAGCAGAAAGTCACATTTAGCACTGAGACGTGCGATAAAAATATCCTTTTCCCCGTTTATTTTTGCCTTCAGCAGAAATCGAGTTGCTGAAAAAGCGATTGAACTTCGAGAGTCAATCAGCTCCGCGAACGACTGGCACTTTGGACGGCAAATATAATTATCTGCCTTTGGGATCCAGGAAGCCCTGTTTATATGTGAGGTCTTGGTGGCCAAATTTGGAATGGAGGATGAATAATAATAATAATCTTCGCTATATTTCCAGTTTCTTGGTATATTGCAATTATGTTGTTATTAAAAATGTAAATTTTTAATTGAAATAAACTTAAAATATTATTTTAAAATCCGATTATAAAAATTACAATGTATTCATATTAAATTTTTATTTTAAGACTAAAATACAGTATTCGAATTATATCGTTTTAACTTTTTGATATTAATTTTAATAATAAAATTAAAATAATATTTTATTAAAATTTATTTTAATTCGTTTTTTTAATAAACAAATTTTTTCATTAATTTTATTGAAGTTAATTTTATAAAATTAATATGTTATATTAACTCTAATAGTTTATTTTAAAGTAAAATTAATTTTTTAATAAAATAAATATACGTTGTGATTTTTACAATCTGATTTCAAAATAAGGTTCGAAGTTTATTCACAAATTCAATTAAAACTTTGTGTATTTTAAATGACTTGTACATAAAATTAATTTTCTTAGTTACAATTAAAATAATTATAATTAAAAAATCTTTATATAATTTTAAAAGTGTTAATTTTAAACTTGTTTGATTTTGAGAAAAAAAGTCATTTATAAAAGTTTATTAGTAATTGTTAAAACCTTATTATTGTTATTGGTTATTGTTAAATATATTAGGTAAAATCGATATAATTTTAAATAAATCTGATTTTAGGAAACAAGATTAGAGAAACTGGAGGCCCTCATGACTGTAGAGAATCCTGTAGCTTTCGAAGCTTATAACGAAACGATTAGCACATTAAAAGCTCACTGCGTGCGATATTTAGACGCGTTGGACATTAGCAGGTATGAAATCAAAGGAGGAACCACTAAACTCGATCGCCATCGTGCAAGCTTATGTCGCAGATATGTTGAAGAGATACTTAAGAGGATTAAGATCAACGGTGAACTTCCTAACAACAATTACATGAAGATCGCGATGATTCATGCGTACCATTATTTAAAAAAATTCAGGAATCTGTACGATGACGTAAGTTAACAATGTAGCATATCAAGAAAATGCAAAGCTAGAAGAGAAATAACGCAAATCTGAGATCTTTCCTTTTCTTTTTAATAAATTGCTCATTTAATTTTTTTGAAGTTTGTGTGTGTGTGTGTGTAGGAATAATTTAATAATACTATATTTGTATTTGAAATAAAAAATAAAAAATTTTAAATAGTAGACTTAATAATACAGTGGACAAAACAAAAAAAATAATTTGAATTGAAAGCTCGATTTTAAAGTGTTTTGGTAACATGAAGTTTCCAGTTTCGCTTTATTTAAAGTTTTCAATGGCAAATACTGATTTCCATACTGACAATCACTCTCTGATTGCAAACCCTTTAATACTGTAAATCCTTCTTTATGGAGATTACTACACAATCGGCTGATAATATTTTTTTCGTTAATTATACATTGGATATTTTATTATAAAATTAATATCTATTAAATGTGTGTGTATATTAAATATTTATTTTATATTAATTATTCATTTGAAGTAATGATTCGAAGGAAATATTTATTAAACATTTATATAATGTTTATTTAGTATTACATGAATAATTTATTTGTAATAATAAATGATAAAAAAATTATTTAATATTTATATTTATAATTCATTTGCAATAATGGATTGAAGAAACATGTATTTAACAATTAATTTTACATTAATTTATTTTTATTACTTATTTTAATGACGTCCTTTTAGATGTATAACTTTTATCTGAAATATTTTTCCGAAAAAACATCTTTTATATTTTTTCCCATATTTAATCCATTACGTTTGAAATAAAGCACCCTGTGTACAGTCAGAGATTATATAATGATAAAATATTATGCAATATAATTAAATATGATAAAATTAAATATAATGAATAAAACTTTATCTTCCAATGTTATATAATATGATAAAATTAAATATAATGAATAAAACTTTATCTTCCAATGTTATATATAAATTTAGTACTTTTTATCTTATACTCAAAGAAAAGACCCTGGTGACAAAGACTACATAAGTGACAACTATAAAAGTTTTAAATATATATAATTAATATACACATATTGTATATTAAAAAATCATTGTAAAACTTGCGCTTAACAGAATCAGAAGAACAAATAATGCTCCTTTTCATACATTTTATTACAATTTCCACATTCACACAAACACAGGACAATCGATTTCTTCGAACAAATTGTACCACATGTCGCTTTGATTTTAAGATTATGCGTTTATCTCGTTAATATCGAAACATCTTTATAAATCGCTGAAGAAGGACCTATGATTTCTAAAACGTTCAATATTTTTATACTTTTATATATTAATGTTTCTTAGTAATATTGTAAATTATTAATTAAAAAAGAATCTTATTATTGCTCGATTTAGACCGTTTTCTTTATACTTTGCATTGCAAAAAACGAGCGAAATCTAATTAATATATATAGTTGAGTTGATAAATTAATTTATATTTATTGCAACTATAAAACAGTTATGTACTTTAATTCCACATAAAAAATTTATTTAGCTGTAACCTGTATTATTACCATCATGGTTGTTTAGCTATTTATACTTAAAATTTTATATTTAATAAAATGTACTTTTAAACATTTATAGAAATTTTGATAATAATAGTCATTAATTATTTAACCATTAAAGCGCTATTGGAAACTGTAATATCTTGGCAAATCGATAAAGATTTTTTCTAGATATTGTACGATTTCGATCTTACTTGATATATCGTTCAATTATATCGTTCAAGCCCCAGCATAGTCTTCCGGATGTTTTCGTCTGGATGATCGCTGGATCGAAGAGAATCGCTTATTCGCGTCTACCAGCCGAGCAGATCGTCTATTCTGAGGAAGCGACTGAAATGGGCGAGAAATGCGGTCGGCGAATCAATCTGTTCCCCAGGAATCCGGACGACGAAAGTGAGCCTGTCGAATATAGCGCATGTAAAATCGAAGCATTTTTGTGGCTCGGTAACGCGAGGTACGCTGCCGCGTGTTGGAGCTCAATTCCGCCGGGATACGAGATCGATCACGGTAGAAATGTCGACACGTTCCCGAAGTACATCGAGTACAATCAGTTCTCGGTAAGAGACGAGTGAAAAGATAGCGACAGGGCATTACGATGCACGAAATGCACAAATTGATCGCGAGCGTGACGTTTGATTTCAAGAGAAATCAGATTGGCGCGTCTCGACAGACATTAAGGATGTTGTGCCTGTACCAGTTAAAAGTCTGTATTAACAAAAAGAGCCAACATCGGCAAAAAGTTTTGTATCATATTACCTTGAAATTAACGAGAAGAGATCAAACAACAAATAACACTATGTGACCACAAAAATTTTCCAAAGGACGCGTGGGTTTGGTTATGTCAGGGGCACGGCCCACTACCATTTCCTCAAGGGATTTGGCAAAGTTAGATCATACAAAAATGGGGAATTAATTTATAGTTATGAATTTTGAGGAATACAGGTAGCTTTTTCTACAAGTGTCGTGCTGGACTCAGGTATAAAAATTGATTAAAAATATATAGAGGCCGGAACTCTGCTTATAAATGATTGCATTGCATAGAACTCTGTGAGAACAAACGAGAACTGCCGTTGAAACTGATAGAAATAGTCAGCACGTCACTTTTTCTAAAAGTTTTATGCCATTTTCTATATATAGGATGTATAAAAATTGTTAAATGTTGTTATTTCATTTTGAAAATGCATAACTTAGTTGGTTTTACTTAGTTGGTCACACAGTGTAATTTGACTTATAATAGATTCGCAGCGAAGTGATCCTATTTTACTATAATTTTAGGTAAATTATTTTTACTAAAAGAGAATAAAGCGAATAAATTATTATAAAAATAAAAAAGTTATAAGGAACCAAATATTTCATTAATATAAAAGATATAAATATTGAAAAATAAAAAAGTTTATCATTATATCTTTTACACAAAACGTATATGATACAAATCTAAAAAATAAAAGTGATCAATAAACCGCAATTTCTAATTTCAATTGTAAATTGAAACGAATGTAAAAATGATATATTGCGATACTGCTACCTTAGAAAGATATATTGTGATCGTTACAGACGTTCCAGTTGCGAGCTCACATATTCCAAGGTCGCTTTGATCCCGGAATGGACGCTTCCGGTCTATTGGATTCGTTTATACGAGTCGTGTTTCAAGGCTACACTGCTTCCACACGGGTAAGTTATGTTTAACGTTTTAACGGAACGTGCAAATTTCACTTTCCCGGTTTTTGAATCTTTAAAATATGAAATTTTGAGCGAGATACAACTCGTACACCGGGTATCGCAGCGTTCTATGTCACCCGTGGTGTTCATGCCGTATGCATACACGGTCATGATACCGTGAAATTTCTGCGGTGTGTATTCCTATGACATTTCACTTGAAACGCACGAGAGTAACGACCGATGTAATACGAGCATGATTAATGTTGCACGCGCAACGTTTCGTTCCGTTCGTTCGCTACGAAAGTGACAAATATTAAAATTTACAGTTTATTGCGACTGTATTTCCTATACTTAAAAGCATTATAATACTGCTGGACTCGAAGCCGACTCGTTCTATATTAACGAGGTAATGCATGACTGACAAGTTTCAAAATGACATCAGCAACATCATTTATCATCGTCAGCCTGGTATTATGCGATTAATAAGATCTAATTGATGATTAATTAAGTTGCAACAGAAGATCATTTAAAAATACAGATGCAATATTTATCTTGATGATTTAACTGACGATAATTATCAAGAAAGAAACCTATTTTTCAAATTATTTTCATTTATTCACGATTTTTAAAATGCTTATTAGCATTAAATTATTAATAATCTTGTTGAATGCTTATATTATGATAGCATCAATATTAAATTGCTTAATTCAATATGTGATATTAATATTACTCATAATTGCGTTTCAAGACTAAACAAGATTTTGACACACAGTTTGCAGAGAATTAGATACGTATATGAATTTATACCGCGAAATATTTGTGCACTAACGATATTTGATCAAAAATAGGATTATTTCTTTTAAACTACTTTTTATAATAACTACAAGTTGCTCGACTTTTATTATATCATAATTACAATTAGGTATATCAAGGTTAAATTTCAAATTTCTCTAATTAAATAAAACTAATTAATCTTCGCAGTTTTAATTTAAAATTAAAACTTCATCGAATCTAATTAACAATTCTTTAGTATTGCCCTCTTTTAGGACTATTATACCATTTATTTTTTATACGATTTATTTTAAAATACAAAGTAGGTACACTGCTGTACAAAACTATACTGAAATGCAATTAAATTATTTATACAATTATGTTAATTTTTTATATTTTTGCATTACAATTTTTATTATAAATATTATACTAAGATTTCTAATTAATCTTCTAAGGACCTAGCATGTTTTTGATCGACATTTTTATTTTAAAGACTAGAACTTATTTATTAATGTCATAGAGTTGAGTGGCGAAAAAAGTGGCGCCACTGTCGAGTCCCTAAAGGGTCTCCGGTCTTTCAGAGGTTAATCTCTAAAAGACGATAGTGTTATCAAAATGTTGTATAGTAATTATATGCCATTCGCTAAAGAATTATAGTTAGATCAAAACTGTTTTAAATAATAATAAGAATATTTTTAAGAAAGAAATTTGTATATATTTATCAGTAAAACTTAAAATATATATGTATATGTTAAATTTAAATTTATATAATACTTATGTCTTTGCATATCTTTATAATATTTCCAGGTGATAAGACAAAGTTTAGATCCGTTTTGGGATCAGACATTAATTTTTCCTCCAATTATTTTACATGGCAGTAAAGAATATACTAAATTTCTACCACCTGAAGTCGTCTTGCAGGTTTTTCAGCAGGATTTATGCGTAAGCAAAGCAATAAACCTATTAAATTTCTTGACAGCTTTTCTACGAAATAAAAAAGGAAAAATGTAAAATTAAGATAAAGTAATCCATCTTAAAAAAAAAAAAAATACAATTACAAAATAAAAATATTAGAAATATTGTTGTTTATATACAATTATAAGTATTTTTGGTATTTTAAAGTAGAAATTAAAAAAAAGATCTTCGAAGTTTTTCAATCAAATTTAAAAGTTACGTATTTTTTGTGGAAAAAATGCAGAGCACGAGGGAATTCTGTGGCAGGTGTATCACGGTGCCATTAGTGAAACTCGCCACGGAAACTTACTCACCGCCCGATTTCCCACCGAAATTAGAGTGGTACAAATTCCAGCCGCAGAAAGATTGCACCGGTTCAGTTCTCGCCGCTTTCGAGTTGATAGAAGTGAGTTATTGATTTTTCTTAGGACAAATATTAACACGATGTTCCAATAGTGTCACCTCTCTATAGATCTATTTTCATACAATACATTCTATTTAATGGTTAGTACTTCTGATTTTTAATATTAGAAAGATACTGTGAAACTTGATAAAAAATGAGTATATAGAATGGCCAACTTTCTATTTTATTTTTTGGACTAATTAGTAAATAGGTATCAGTTAAAAATGATTTAAATACACTCTAAAACCAATTGTAAAAAAAACAAGAAACAAATAATCTGGCTTATAACGTTTGCTTTTAGCAGAAAAAGCAACTTTGTGTAATTGTTATAAAATTCTTTAATACGATTGGTTTCTTTCTTTAGTTTCTCACTGGACTGAAATGTATAAACCAATATATTAAAGAATTTTACAACAGTTGAAGCTATTTCTTTTGCTGAATGCGGCTAATGACTTATAAGCGCAACAACCATATTTTGTTGGAGTCTTGAGAGTAAATAACTTTTTAACAAGTAAATGGATCCAATTAAACTTTTTAACGATTAAAGTTTATATATGTGTGTATATATATATATATATACATATATATTATACTCAAATTTTACACAGTATACTCGAAAATAACAATGAAACAATCTAGAAATTTTTACATTTTTGCTAATAATATATCTTTAAATGGCAATAAGAGTCAAGTAATACTATGTTTTAAAAGTTTATTAATTCTCTTCACAACTGTCTTATTTTTTTTAAATTTAAACGAGTATTTCTTGATAAATTGCATTAAAAAATCTTAAATATCTAAAATTGAAAGCTCGAGAAATAGATCTGATTCAATGGTCAGCAAAGTTATTTGATTTTTTTTCCTTTAAATTCTTTTCTCAGGGATATTTGAAAATTAAAATTTATGCCAGAATGAGTTTCATACGATCCGATTTACGTCAAAAGATAATACCGGATAAGTGAATAAGTGATGTAGAATAACGCTAGAAATGTTTCAAAATATCTGTAACAACTCGGATAAGAAGCTTTATTATTCTATGAAGGCTAATGGAAGACATTTTGAATGTTTACATAGATAATTTTTTCTGTAAATTCTGCGAATTTTCTATTTTACATATTTAATACTTTCAAATGCAACTTTTTTTTTTAAAAAAGCGTGTAATTTATTAAAAGAACTAAAACAAAATTATAAAGAAAGTTAAAAGGTTTTTGAAACGAAATGTGTCCCTTCGTTCTCTTATTGCTACTTAAAATTTTTGAAGAGACATTATCCTAATTAAGGGAATAAAGTAGTATATCATAATTGAATTTGTCATAACAGTCTTAGCCATAAATACGAGTATAAAGCATTTTTTAAAGAAGCTATGTAATGTGTGGATTATATATTATGTGTCTTGATATATTAAAAGCCAACTTTTCGTAAACATTACAGTTTAATTCATCAATGCAAGAAGCAGTTTAACTGCAAACTGCAAACCGCTTAGCTTCTTTAAAGAAAATACTCGTGGAAACCTCAAAAGTAGCACTCTTTGCTGAATTTTCTTGGAAAAAGCGATAATAAAATCCAAAAGAAATGTCAAAATTATTATAAAAATAAAATATTATTTTTCAACAGAACTATTTTTTAATTTATTTTTTGTTAGATGTAAAAGATTTATGTCAATTTGTGTTTATACTTTTGGCCAAAACTATATGTTCCCTTTAAAAACAAAATTGACATATTTCGAGTATATTTCGCACAAATCGGTCGATTATTAAAAAAACGGGATGAAAATATGGGATTTACTCTAAACATGTACATGTCTTGGATAATACATTGAGATTTATGATAACTTTTCTTTAAAATTGAAAAATTTTATATATAGTATTATATATAATATATATATGTATTATTTCAGATAGAGAACAAAGAGATTTCGGACGTTCCGATGGATGTGTCAGTAGAGGATGAGATTTACAGCATCCCACCGGATATCAGACCAAAAATGACGAGCTACAGGCTGGAGGTAATCTTTTGGGGAGTTCGCGATATGAGAAAAATAAAATATATACCGGTACGTAGGCCAAGAATTATAGTGGAATGTGCCGGAGTGCACATCAAATCAGAAGTGATCAAGAACGCTAAGCAATTCAGCAACTTTACGGAACCGCATATTATGATCGAGCTGGTAATTTTTAAATTTCGAGAATGGTTAATTATTACAATCTTTGTGTGTATATCACATGTGTGAGTTGTTTAAATCAAATATATGCACTTGCGCAATATAAGAGATAACAGTAATTTTTATTTAAAAGAAACAGAGATATCTTGTCTGGAAAATTTGAAATCCGTATTTTGATAATAATTTAATGAACATAAATAAGTTTAATTTTTATTGTCAAAGTCTTTCAAGCGTTGAGCGTTTTAATAGTGAGAAATCAGAATACGATTAAAATAAATCCACGTGTGATGTACATTATTAATAGCGAGAAAATGGAACCACTTTAAAACACATTAATCATCAAGGAAATGCCGGAGCTCGACATTTACTATCCGAGCATCACTATAAAGGCTTACGATTCGCGCGGATTTGGCTGCTTTAAGTATGCTGGGATCTGTATTATCCCTAACATCCATGTCTTCCTGGAGCAATTAATAACCGAGGAGGATTATGACATGCAGATATACGAGTCGAAATTCATGCAGAAATTCCAGTTGGCAAAACGGCATACGGCGATAGTGTGTTAGTACGCTTTCAGTACTATTGTTATTTAAATAGTATTCGTGTTTATTATAAAATGTATTAAATAAACAAACGTATTAAACATTGTTTAACATGTTTGTATACTAAAAATTAAATGCATACTTCATTGTATTTCATTAAAATATATTAAATGTTAATAAACACATTTAATATATTTAATTTCTATTATAAAATGTATTAAATAATCTTTATTGTAAAGGTAAATTAAATACATTACATTTTGAATATATGTAATACATATATTAAAAATATAATACATTTAGCATTAAAAATTGAAATTATTATTACGTTTCTTTTTATTATTATTCGTACTATTATAAATACTTTTTATACTGTTCCATATAAATAATTATAGGTTTTTTTTAATATAATATTGCTTTTGCTTTATTTTTGATGCAGTACCTTTGCCGATCGATTATAGTCCTTCGAAAGAGGAGAGCAAAGGTCTCATTGCGTATAAGAGAATGGCTGCAACGGACGTCCGTTCTAAGCTGAGGAGGCTGCTTGTAATCATAAAGAGGATATTAAAATTCAAGTTTTTTACTAAGAGAAAGAAAGTAGAAATTTACAAAGATAGCGATGATGAAACTCTCGATTGGTGGAGTAAATATTTTGCTTCCCTCCAGGTTCGTACAACAATTTTAAATGCGTATAATAGTTGCCAAAATTATTTTTTATTACTTATGATATATGAAAAATTTATAAATAATAACATTATAAAAATTTTAAAGTTTTATAGAAGCTTTCTACAACTTAATCATTTTAACTTAATTATTTTAATCAAAGGTATATTTATATTTTTTAAGATTATGACTTGTAATAAATTGATTAATTATTCTAACGCAATTTTAATTTTGGAATTTAATATTATTGAGATATTTCAATGATAATTTAAAAATAGTCTAATTTTCAAATTGAAACGTTTGTTGTTTTTATATGAGTGACAATTATTATTATAAACATTAATCAGCACTCACATTCTGCTTGGTTATTATGTTTCTTATCATTTTTTATTTTTTTTAACTCTAGAATTTCTGATATAAGAAATGAAATCATGTAAATATAACTGCGTAGACATTAAACACTGCTTAAATACGTACTCTTAGCTGCTTAAGTGCTTAGAAATTTAATTGTTTGTTTATCTAAACTAAGAGACTTATCATTAGTAGTTTAATTACTTAAATACTTATATGCTTAAACATTTAATAATTTACTAACTTATTTGCTTAGCAGTTTAACGATTTAGATATTTTGATCTTGCTTATCTTTTTAATTTTACATTTTGCATTATAATTTGCAAAAAAATTAAATTATAGGATTTACGACTTCGTAAGTTTTATAGTTTCCTTTACGTCGTAAATCTTGATAGCTTCCTCTGCGTCTCTTGAATCTTTTCCGAAATTTTCCCTGATTCAGCTTTATCTCGACCATCGTAAATCGTGTTGCCGATAAATGAATCGATTTTGATCAAAATCATGTAGAACACGAGTCTTGATTGACTAGGATCAATCAGCCGAGACGTTTGATAATGCAAATTATTGAGTCACGTTGGATTCGCAGGAAGAGAGAAATAGAGAATTAGGAATCACGACAGCGTTTCGTCGTAAACCCGTGGCGACGTTCAAGGTATTATTTAATGCACTTGCTTGAACTAGAGTGCTTAGACACTGAAATCAGATCTATTCCACGGAGCTGGAGACGCAGCCGCAATTCGAAGGATTTCAAGACCGACTCCGCACATTTGAATTGTGGCGTGGAAGAAAAGGTGAAAATCCCGAGTATGCCGGAGATAATTACGCCGGCAAATTTAAGGTTAATTTATTTTAAAAAGTTATCTAAATAAAAAATATAGGAATTACCTTCATATCAAATGTATCCAAAATTTAGCTCGCGAGCTGAACGCTACTTTTCCATCGTCTCGTTGAGTGAGACAGTTAAAAAACAAAAAAGGATAGACGCTAAAGTAACCAGAGCTCTAACCTTTGTTCTTTTTCTTTTCTCTCCGTCTTGTTCAACAAGATAATGGAGATGGGAAATGATTAGCTTGTGAACTAATTAAGTTTTGGACAGAAGCTTCTTACGTATAAAAAGATTTATCTAATCTTCTTTGATATAAATTAACACTATAATTAAGCGCAATAAATATCAGCGGCGAGCGTTTGAATAAGATTCCTTAATTGTCTCAAGCACTTAATTTATTGATGTCAAATACTGTAAATTATGACTTCCTCTAGGGACATATTTCTATATACCAATGGCCGCATCCTGATAATCTTCCATGCAAAACGAGGAGCGGGAGAGACGCAGCTAATGGTCTGTGCAACGATTATCCGCCTCAAGAGCCTGTTAAGCTCCTCATTAGACTTTACGTTGTAAAGGGTTAGTCATCACATACGCCAAAAAATAATCAGTTTTAAAAATATTCCGCCGTGTCTGCTTTTACATAAATTTTTAGATTGTTCGAGAAAAGTAAATTTAAAAAGGGTACATTATCGAAATTTTTTTTTCTTGTAAAACCGTGATACTTTCATGAAATTTTATTGATTAAAAATTAATTCAAACTCTTATAAAAGTAATTATAGACAAGTGCAAACTCTTGTAATGGGATATTACGAGACATTTTCTTAATACATTTTTTTTCCTTTATTTCTTCTATTAAAAGGAACTAAAAAATTCATTGAGATCCGTTTCGTGGGAAATTTTCCGGTACACCTTATACTCCTTGGTAAACTTATAAAAAGCCCGTCTGCGACATCGAGCTGACAGCAAATTTGCTTTTCGCGCAGGCATTAACTTACAACCTAAGGATCCCCTCAGCGGCAAGTCCGACCCATATCTCTGTGTGAAGTTGGGAAAAAATTCTATCAGCGACAGGAAGAATTATATACCCAATCAATTGAACCCTACATTCGGCCGGTAAGGTTAACAAAAAGCTGCCGCAGCTTCTTCCCAAGCATATCGCAGTATATGCTGTGCCCTTCGGGCGTTATCGGGAAATATTTTATCGATATCCATCTGTCCATCCGTGCGTATCGGCTTTTTGCAGCTTTCAAACTGCACGATCAGGTTTTCCAGTTACTTCACGTAACAACGTAGCATGGACGTAACATGGATTAAGATTATTTTGATAATTGATGTTTTTACTTTTTTAAATGTGCAATACTTAAAAATAAATTACACGTCTTAAGTCTTTTCGGTAATAAATAAAATAAAATTTAATTTTTTAAAACCCTATATCACTTTCATTAAAGTTATTATAAATTCGACCTGTTTATTGTATTGTAACAATATAAGTTGCTTCTTTGGTAAAACTTTATAATATTTTTCAACTTATTTTGGGGGTACAATATAAGTATTAATAATTTTTTCTAAAATTTGTAACAAGTATTATATTTTAAGAAAATATATTATTTGTAAAAATATCCGTTATTAAAAAAATAAACTAAGAAATGACCTTTTATATCTTTTTTAGCAGTAGAGTGATATTTTCTTCTGCCTAACCTTCATAATCAATTTCGTATAAAAAAGGTAACGTGATTATTCTCGAATAATTATTATCTAATAGTGTGTTCGAGATGGAGGCAAGCTTCCCGCAGGATTACATGTTGGAGATTCAAGTGTGGGATTTCGACGCCACAACGGCCGATGATTTGATCGGCGTGACGCGAATTGACATTGAAAATCGATTTTACAGTCGGCATCGGGCACATTGTGGAATCGCAAATGCTTATAGCACCGCTGGTTACAACGCCTGGAGGGATCGAGAGAAACCGGCGCAGATTCTGGAGCTCCTGTGTAGGAAGAACAATCTACCATCGCCGGAATATGGAGAACACGAGATTAAGATTGGCAAGCAGTCATTTTCCTTTCACGCCGTGATTGAACGCGAAAGCGAAGTCGGTATGTAATACCGTTGAGAATTATTATTGTGACTGTTAAGTATGATATTGCAACAAAGAGAGTTAATATCCTGATATAACTCAAACACTATTTATTTATAATTTAAAATTCAAATAGAAGATGTAGCATCGCATTTATAACCATTACTTCAACCTTATCTTAAAACTGTGACAGATGAGATATTCAGAATGAAGTCGATGCAAACGAAAGTAACATAACATCATTTATATAATTTGTACGCACAATATAAATGTAATATAACACACTGTATTACATAATGATTACACTGTAGGGTGTAAAATATTATAACATTGATGTTATGTTATTTTCAGTTCATATCAACTAGAAAAAAATATGCAAAAACTTGTTTGCTTTCTTTTGTGCAGGGAAGCTTAATTTAAATCTTATATGATCTTCCTAAAATCAATAAATAAATAAAATTTTTTTTTAATTTATTCAAATTCTTTATTCAAAATAAAAATAAATTCTATAAAAAACGAATAATATTCCATAAATAACAAATTATTGAATTATTAAGTTAATAAATTAACGTGACTATTTCATTTTTCTTTACATAGACACTTTCTTTTTCTTTATTCTTTTATTGTACAAGCACAATGTTTAAATTTAAAGACAGAAATGATGGTTATAATTAATCACAATTGTATGTAAAATCAAAATGCAATAATTGTACGGCATTTCCGATATTAATAGTGTGATAATAATTCGAGAGACTTGTAAATGATAATAATCATATTTATATATATAATGCTGTAGCGTTGTGTTTTATCGCCGCAAAATATTTAATATAAATTTAAGTTTAATAAAATAAATGTACGCTGAATCGTATTTATCGTATTTTAAATTAATAACGGTCAATATGCGGCATAATTATGCACAGTTTTGTTTTGTTTAATTTATTCAACTCGGTCGGTAAATAAAAAGTTGTATTTAAATGACATCGACAGATTCAAATTACAAATAAAATGTATTTCCATTTATGTTGAATATCAAGGGACACAGCAATTTATAATACTTATATCTATCGTCCATTTACATGACATGAATAAATACTTAAAATTTAAAATAAAAATGATTTGACATGCTTGCAAATCGTTAATCATAAGACTCAATTAATCGAGAATTGCTAATGAATAGTTAATGGTTTGGAAGATGTGATCGCATTTTATGAAGTGAAGTGTCTGTTCGCTCGATTCTTTACCATGCCCATGATATAGCATGGCGAGGTTTGTGTAAACTTATAAACACAGCATGTTGTACATACATACACTGTGAAAAGTATCAAGGCTAATCGAGATTTGTTATCCGAAATATTTAATGCTGTACAGGATGATTAAAAAGTAGGTACCAAACTTTTAAATGTCTAGAAAACAAGAGATATTTGAGAAAAAACGTTTTATACAAAAACTGTAAGATTTCAATAAACATATCAAGCAGATACCTATTTCATCCCAAGTACAAGTATGGAGGATCTCTCAAAGTCAACTTAAAAATTTTTTTATATGGAAAGTCCCAATAGTCTTGATCTTGACATATCAAGATTCAGACTCTCTCTCTCTCTCTCTCTCTCTCTCTCTAGTGGAGGTTGTTCTTTTATTTTTAACTTTACGTAAAAATGAAAATAAGAAGAAAATAATATCCTTAATTTTAATATATGGTATATTGTCAAGAACATGATTTTGAATAACATTCAAAAATTTCTGCCGTCGATCGGGTACATTAGATAATGCTAATGTCGCTGTCTAATTTTTGTCTATTTGTCTAAAAAACAATAAAATCGATGAGGTGACTTAAACTGCGCTTTTATACCAATTATAGTAATATTGCTGCAAGTGTTTGTGCTATATGGAAAAAAACAGACTAGTTTTTATCATTCATCAATATTTATTCTTCATTATCGATAATTTAACTAATTATTTCTTTGACTGGGTAGACTATTTTGATACCTGCACTTGACGTACCTAACAATTACTGATCCGACTGACGTCTCTGGAAGTGAGTTATAATAGAGAAACTTTTAGATCAATAAGTCATGAACAATATCTTTGGAGTTTGTTCTAGAAAAAAAGACTTATACAATATAAGCGATATAAATGTATTTATATCAAATATATTTGGATTTGAATGTATTTTGATTGTATTCTTAGTTTGCTGATTCTGTCTCTCTTTGACAGTCTTTTTTCAGTTAATGTTAGATTCATTAGTTTATTATTTCTCTGTCCATATTCATTATTAACGAATTAATAGGGAGAGATAAAAAATGAACAAAATTCTTTTTTGTTAAGTTTGTATTATACACAAAAAATGAAATAAGAAATTAATCTTAAGAAACTTACACACTAAATAATCAATGTGCGCCGACAGACAGAGAAGAATGCATGGCTCTCAGTGTACTTCATCACTGGCAAGATTTTCCTATTTGCGGATGCGCCCTGGTACCGGAGCACGTCGAGAGACGACCACTTTTCAACGTTAAGAGGCCCGGTCTTGAGCAGGTTGCATGAAATACAACGTCTGACCATGAAAAGTAACTCCGTTTGTTAGGAAACGTGTCAGTGATATAGACATTGTTCCCTGGAAGAATAATTTTTCTATTTTAATTAAACTGCGCATTTGTCAAATGAGTTACATTTCTGTGATCAGATTAAACACTTTCACCTATATATAATATATATGGTACATATAAGTTCGACGTTTTTCATTGTTACTGTTGACATACGGAATGCTGATAAGTACTACAATGATATAATGGTATAATAATACATTCTGAAGAATGTACATATAATTGAAATTGAAAATTTGATATAATTATAAAAATGTCACAATTTCAATAGTTTTCAAGTTTTGAATGCAATTAAAGTTGATTTATGATGTATTACGCATTAATTTAGAGGAAAGTCACCGATACAGATCTTTTAAAGAAATAGTCCCTTATTTCTAGCTTGGAAATTAACTATTGTTATATTGATAAAAACATAATCCACATATTTAGATGATTAAAGAAATAAAAATCAAACATAACTCATATTTTTCTGGTAATTTTAATCATCTTTATGGTTATAACTATAGTTATAGTCATTTTTAATTGTCAACTTTGTTATTATGGTAGTATAAATCATAATTATATGTATAATATGTAATTGTAGTTACAAATACTAAACATTTTTCTCTTAATGTCAAGGGTCAATCACATTATGTATGTTCTACTTTAGTTTAACATTTGAATATATATATACATATATATAAATGAATACATATATATATAAAAATTAGAGAGTTTTTGAAAAAAAAGCTTTAGAGTAAAAACGCGGGATTTGAGAGAGATATCGCTCGAGACGGATTGATAGAAGAAGCGTGTGATAGATGAAGAGTGATTCTCTCCTGCTGACGAGCTGTCAATTAAAATTACAGCTGATGAAAGGAAAGTCGTGCACGAACTAGGTTCGAGCAGATGTAATGATGTGTGACAGTTAATCACAAAATTGTAAAGTAAAGAGTATATTATATTGTTTGTATTAGAGCCAATGTATAACATTATACATAATTATAAATTTAGCGATTTCTGTACAACTGTATTTAACTGTCAAAGTAAAATATGGGACACCTTGTTTATTATATAAATCACAAAATCATATTTTTTACATTAACTACTATCTTTCAATAAATTCACAATTAATTTCATTTTAATGTTACCAAGGATACAAAGCTTAAAAAATTCTTTGATTCCTGTAAAATCCACAACTTTGAGCAATTTAAAGTTTCATTGGATTCTTTATCAAATATACATTTTATACACATATCTAATATAATTTTCTCAAACCCACTTATATACTTTAAAATTAAAATAAAAAATTTAATATCTATTTTTTAAAGCTAAAATTTGCGCAAAATTTAATAAATAAAAATATATGTTATCTTGTAGCTGCTTTGTTGTCCATTGATTTTTCCAATCTCTCTCTTTTCTCGTATTTCTCATTGCTGCTCATTTATGTAACAGCTATCCGTGAAAATATGTTAATTACGATCGCGATGCATTAATTATCAGATATGACAAATTTCGAGAGGTTTTATTAAATCAACAATATGAATACTGTTGATTTAATAAAACTAACTAAAGTTACTCTATGCGCGGATAGCGAATATTAAAATATGAAATTAATAATTGCAATTTTGCTTACTAATTAAATAACACGACGCTGTTTATTCCGTAATCAATCTGAAATACTATATACATGATATTTGGTTAATAAACGAAAAATTAGCAACTTCATATATTCGATGTGATAAAGTCAAGTAATTTAATTGTTAATTAAAGCGCGATGAAACGTTTAGAAATACGAAATTGAGATTCAGTATTGCACACGTGCTGCAGCATTAAACGAATAAATCTCGCGGAATGTTACACAATAGATATTATATTAACAAACGATAAAATATAATATACACGTAATACGCCGAACACGTGTGACTTTTTGTAACTTGAACCGACACGTGTATCAGTCTGTATTTTTAATACAAAAACGATAGTAAAATTGTATTATTTAAATCGGTGAGAATTTTAAAACCTGTATTGGCTACAGAGAGAGAATGATTTATTTAGATTTAAAACTCCTTTTTTTATTTACGTTTATTTTTTTTTAAAACAATTTAATTTTGAGTGAAAACTGTTTTATTCAATTCCAAAAATTTAACTTGCAATCAGTTATGTTTCTTAATTTACATCGAATCGATTCGGTTGGATTATTTCAATGACTACATTTATTAAATTCAAAAAATCTTTTTCTCTATGTAGATTACACATTAGAGTTTAAGGAGACAGTGAATTGGAAATTGGAATTTCACTAATTAGAATAAAATAGATTAAAACTACTATTTGATTGATTAAATTCTAATCTCTAATTCGGCATGCTCAGTTTACAGTGCCTAGTATGATACAGGCTCGTCTTACGCACTGAGAACGTGAATTGGATTCAGATTGCGAACTGCGAATCGTTGACTAGTAAATTAGATTAGCTGATCAATGATTCATATTTTGCAATCTGAATCCAATCCTCATCCGTATACATAGTGTAACACGAGCTTTAAAGAGCGACGCGCGATATACTCGAATTCAAGCTCAAGAAATAATTACCTCGTGTGAATAACACGAGACGATAATTTATGGCTGGCGTTCATAGTCAGCTCTCATATTTACGACTGTCTTAAGTATAGTCTTTTAAGATGTTATAAATCAATCACAGAACCGCGTATTAACATCTTCAAAGTCTTAAAACATTAAAACAATCTTGAAACAAGAACGATCTATAAAACTTCCATGTCCTGTTGCTCCAACTTCTCTACATAATATAAATAAAATGAAAAAAGAAAAGAAAAGAAATAAAAATGGTTCTTTTTCTAAAAATAAATAAAAAATAAAATAACTTCCGCCTGTATATGAATTTTTACGTTATTTAGCGTAAATAATATATCGTCTCTAAGTACACACACACGCACGCACGCACGCACGCGCGCGCGCGCGCACACACACACACACACACACATATACACATACACGCACGCATATTTTATTTAGTTTTGATAATATAACTAAATCGAGCAGAATGTGTGCTTCCATAGGATATTCGATGGATTTAAAAATTCGGTTGTGAGATTTAATAGAAAATTGATAATCTTTAATTATTCGAAGAGAGAGAGAGAGAGAGAGAGAGAGAGAGAGAGAGAGAGAGAGAGAGAGAGAGA